CACTTTAAAACACACTGACAAACGTCACACCTTTAAACTCACTGTCTTTAACATACTAGTCTCCTCTGCGTATGTAGTGGAAATAAAGCTATTGATTCGATACTCAAAAGCCTACATCAAGATTTGTTTCATGATGATATATGTGCTGTTGACTGATAAATATACCTAGTCAGAGGTTTGTAGAGTCTCTAACCAGCCCGAGCAAATGTTACGGTCCTCAACATGACCTCATTTCAAATATCAAACAGGGCCCGAATTCATGAAACCGTTCGCATGCTCAAGCATGGATTTTGTGCTCAAACCAACTTTCTTGTAACTCACTTTAATCATGTCAAAACGATCAAAAAGTGAAATGTTAACATTGAAAACTGTATTTGGCTAAGTTTCTTTATTTTTTTCTCTCTCCAAATTAATGACCATATTAGATTTTATTATTGTTTTATAAACGGAATAAGAAATTAGGCTTGAATACGGGCCCTGGGCTCAAGCACGAATGTTGTGCCCAAGTCTAATTTCTTGTTACAGTTATAAATTATTTAAAAAATCTTATTTTGTTAAAGTTTTGGACAAAAATTGAAGAAACTTGAAGCCGAATACTGTTTTCAATATTTAAATTTGACTTTTTGATCGTTGAAATGATTTAGGTGCGTTACAAGAAAGCTGGCTTGAGCAGAATCCGTGCTTAAAGCATGAGATCGGTTTCATGAATATGGGTCCTGCAGGTCTTAGAACTCCCTTTTTGTGTCTACTCACAAACCTGTGTTTGACGGACCTTCATGACGGATACGACGTGATGTCATGAAACGTTAACAACAACTGGTTGCCATGGCCTCTGGTCTTTTTGTTGTGTTTTCCTTAGTTTGTCCTGATGTGTTGGCGCTGTGGTATACTTTGTCTTGTGTGTTGATGTTGTGCTATATTTTGTCCTGATGTGTTGGCGTTGTGGTACATTTTGTACTTGCGTGTTGATGTTGTGCTATATTTTGTCCTTGTGTGTTGATGTCGTGCTATATGTTTTCCTTGTGTGTTGATGTTGTGCTATATTTTATCCTGATGTGTTGGCGTTGTGGTTTTTGTGGACACTGTGGTACATTTTGTACTTGTGTGTTGATGTTGTGCTATATTTTGTCCTTATGTGTTGATGTTGTGCTATATTTTGTCCTTGTGTGTTGATGTTATGCTATATTTTGTACTGATGTGTTGGCGTTGTGGTCCTTGTGTGTTGACGATGTGGTGTATTTTGTCCTTGTGTGTTGATGTTGTGGTTTTTGTGGACACTGTGGTATATTTTGTCCTTGTGTTTTGAGGATGTGGTGTAATATATTTTATATTTTACTTTTTTTAATTTGCGNCCTGATTTAGTTCCTGTTCGGTCCCAACATTCCTGATTTAGTTCCTGTTCGGTCCCAACATTCCTGATTTAGTTCCTGTTCGGTCCCAACATTCCTGATTTAGTTCCTGTTCGGTCCCAACATTCCTGATTTAGTTCCTGTTCGGTCCCAACATTCCTGATTTAGTTCCTGTTCGGTCCCAACATTCCTGATTTAGTTCCTGTTCGGTCCCAACATTCCTGATCTAGTTCCTGTTCGCTCCCAACATTCCTGATTTAGTTCCTGTTCTATTCCAACATTCCTGATTTAGTTCCTGTTCGCTCCCAACATTCCTGATCTAGTTCCTGTTCGCTCCCAACATTCCTGATTTAGTTCCTGTTCGCTCCCAACACTCCTGATCTAGTTCCTGTTCGGTCCCAATAAGCCAGCACTGTTAAGTTCAAGTTCACACCAGTATTGCAATATTTAGTTGCAATGTATCGTTTAAAGTTCACAACAACTATAATCGATTTTTTTCTTAATTGTCTGAAATTTATTTCTGAATCGATCCTAATACTCAAATATTGATTGCAACTTGTAAGCCAATTAGTTTCGTGGTGATCTCAATACTCAAATTGCCAAACGTTAATTTCAGTCTGATATCAACACATCAGCTTTTAATACCGATCTGATCTCTATGCTCTAATTCCAGTCCTATGTCAACCTAGTTTAGTGCCAGACCGAGATTCCAATATTACGCATGTAACGTGCGCTTGTACTTTGAACAATTTCCTTGATGAATTATTAAAACGGTAGAAGAGAAGATTTAGGATTTGGGACAAAACCTAATGGGACATGTACTAAATGTTACAGAGTGTATCCGGTACAACTATCTACTCTCGGCGTATGTTCAAGAATCGGGTTCGGAACCAATCTAGACTTTCCAGGATTTCGTTCAAGGTGGCATGATTTTTGAAGGAATTAATTGCTTAGCGATTAGAGGGCTTATAGAAGAGTTGTCCTTTGATAATAGCAGTAGACATATACCCGTTACTGACGGCAGAATATATTTATTTTGGTTTCACAAAATTGATGCTGCCAGTTTTCTGCCTACAGCCATTCCCACTGTGATACATGTACGTTGTCATCAATGCCGGAACAAGAAAAAATCTGAATACACTTTATCAAAAATGAGGAATTTTGTACGAGAAAGCTAGCTCGCAATAGAAGGAACAATTTTGCTGCCTGAAATACGGAACCGAAAGTCGGAAACAATTATAGGTCTCCCATGGCGCGCCATGAGAAAGGAAACCAATCAAACATGCCTCAATCTATGTATGTAACTTGGACATTTGTATGATAGATATGCATGTTGTTTTAGCACAAAGCAAACATGTTTTAATCCCGTCAGTAATCTCCAATGATGAGATAAGATAAGAATGGCAGGAAAATGTTCATTTCTTTTCGACAGGATACAAAATATTTGCTATTTAAATAAATCTAAAGGAGGGGGGTGGGG